GTTATTTAAGTCCAATAAGCAGAAGAGAACGGCTCTCTTCAGGCATCCTCTTACACCGGAGAGAAACACGACTTGTTTGGCAAAACACCACAGAGGAAAAAGAAAAAAACCTCCTGACTCATCTTTAAATTCATGTGAATCCATTAGTTTCTCTTCTTATTAGAAGATGCAGTTTAAAGCAGAGCTAGTGTTCAGGAATAAAAGCAGAAAACTTGCATTTTATTTAAAAAAAAATAATAATTTAAACTCTGGCATCACAACAAGTATGAGAAACAGCTACCACAATACATAAATACTGCTTTAAATCCATTTCAGCCTGTTGTGGCCTCACCCTGAAGAGGCTTCTGTTATACATCTAATTTATTTACCGGTAGCTGCTTCTTTTGCTTAAATCTTTGGAAATAACTAGTGCAGACATCCCATGTTGTCTGTTAGCAAAATGTCTCATAAACCACTGGATTGATTTTAATGAAACTCTTGAAAATTATTCACTGAATGTATATCTATAGCTGATTAGTGTTTTGGAGTGATCTGACTTTAGATGCTTGCTACGGCTAGTAAAACTTTGCAAACAAAAGGAGATATCTAACTCATTTTTGCAAATATTGAGCTCAAAATTGGTGTGGTGGTAGTTGAGAGTCCTCTCCACTACATACCTGGAGCTCTCGCAGATCACTTGAAACCTTTGTTTACAACTATAGCTGGCAGTTCCTTCAAGGAATATCAGTTTTATCTTTCGGTGTTCATAAAATATATAAAAAATATAAACTCAAGCATAATCTAAATTTCACAACCTTTATTTATATACATTGCAACACATACTTGCCTGATTTCTGCTTTACTAAAATGCATTTAATATCAAATAAGCATGTGAAGTTGTTTTATAAAACCCCATAATAAAACCAACAAAGTTCAGGCAGGTCATCTGGACGGTTTCTTGTTGTTTTTTTTTGTTGTTGTTGAGATATTTCATCCTTCATCCAATGGACTTCATCAGTCTGAGGAGCCACAAACAAACTCAGTCCCACAAGCAGCACGCTCCTCTACTGGGTCAGCCAGTTTGCTGGTGATAAGATGATTTGATAATAAACAGTTCACTATGGGAGTGTGCTGCTTGTGGGACTGAGATTGTTTGTGGCTCCTCAGACTGATGAAGTCCTTTGGATGAAGGACGAAACATCTCAACAAAAACAAAAAAAAAGAAACTGTCCAGATGACTTGACTGAACTTTGTTGGATTATTTACCTGGATTATTGCGCATGAACTTTGATGTTTTGAACCCTTAATAGAGGGTGTAATAATTTAATTGAGCAAACTTGTATGAAATGTACAATAAAACTGTTGCTTCACCAGCTCTATTAAAGCAAAGTGCTTTTTAATTTTCTCATTTCAGCTCAATATCAACACGTCTAAAACATGTCATTTTTTTAAATCTGCTTTTACCTTAATGGCATCTCAAGGGTGTTTTTTTTTAACCACATAAAACATATTTTTAATCTCATAAAGCTGATATTAGATCAATGTTTGTCTGATTACTCACTGGAGGTGAGTTTTATTCCTCTTTTCATCTCCAGTCAAAGCTCCTTCATATTGAAGCGTGGCGGCATTGCGAAGATTAACTTGTCAATGTTCATCTGGTTTCATGGAAATTAAGAAGCACATTGGTCCAAATGAATATTTAATTCACTTTGTGATCATCCATATTTGATAAAAGCATCATTTGGAACAGACGAGATAAATAAGTGATCCACGTTTGCTCATTTGTTAAAATCCTCTTGGCGCACTTGAACATCACAGCGAGCTGTTCGCTAACGTCCCACGGATTAAAGAAAGAAACGGTGCAAGCGCATGGCAAATCTATTAAGACTTTAATTTTTCAATGATTTTTTAATACACTTTGGACAGAAACTGTGTCTCTTGAATTAATAAGTTACATCATAAATAAAGGCAAACATTTCATTCTGTCTCACAAAAACAACAAAAAAGAAAGAAATAGCAGCAAGTGCAAACCGAATCACAGTTGGCTAACAAACTCCAGTGTTCCCAGTTTACACTTTGTTTAAAACAAAAAGCTTTAAACGCAGTCCAACTGTCTGTGGGGCGTTGAAGGCAACCCTGATCCAGCGTTTGGAAATTAAATAAGAAACGAGGAAAACACGAATGTCAGCCCTAAAGCAGTGCAAGTCACAGGAGGTAGCATCTTACTCTCCCGCCTATCAATTTTTCTTTTTTTTTCCTTGCAGCAGGCAACGTTTATTGACCGCTATGATTATCATAGCATCCATCTACATTTCACTGCATCTCTCTCTCTCTCTGTGCATGTGTGTGTGTAGTCTCCATAGTGGAAGCTGTACAAGATTCATCATAAAGCTATAGCTCTCTGCTGAAGGTTTGCCAATGTAGATAATCCTATTTTGATTCACTACGCCTGTTGTTTATGATTAGAGGAGGTAAGAAAAAGGAAAAAAAAAAACTGTCTGCACAGGAACATAACTCAAATATACATTAAAAAAAAAGGTTTAACTTTCGAAATACGTTACACAAATCAAGTAGCAGACAGTGCTTTGCTTCACTGAGAAGGAAGATAACAGAATATTAAATGGCGGTACAGAAGGCTGTCCAGTTGGTTATTAAATGATACAAATGATTGAAAAGTTCCAGACGTTCATTGTTCAGTCAGAGCTCTTCGATATGATTGATAGGGATATGCAGCCAATTAGCATTTGAGTCTAATTTTCTGTAGATGGGATCCTTTATCTGAATTACGTCTGTGGTATAGTGCAGGTTAATGGCAGCTGACCTCTGTCAGGCTTTGGTTCATTAATAAAGTTTAGCTCAGTGGGAAAAAAACGAGTACAAGCAACTGAAGGAGGATTGTGCTAACGGATTCTGTGTGACCAGTAAATCATGTAGAACGTACAATAAAACCACCATCACAGTCACTGATAAAATATTGAGCTTGTGCTGCATCAGCTCATGCGAACACAATGCAGCGACTCCAGCTATAATTGGTCTTTTGCATTCATCAGTGCGTACGTGTGGTTTAATAACATCTGGTGACACTTTTAAAGCAATAATTCACCTGAACTGAACAGGTGTCGCCTCAGTGTTGGGTCAAAAACCAGCTTTGGTAAGCACCCCACGCGGGGCAGAAGCTGCTGGGGTTAATCAGGGAACAAAACGACCACCTGTTGTTTTTTTTTTGCAAAGCGACGAGGGAACTTTCGCTCAGCTGATCGGTGCATATGAGTGGGAACTATTTTTGTGCTTGCGGATGCATGATTGCTCTCTTGGAAAGTCATGACTTTAGCAGAGGAATCTGGTTGTGCTGATGATTATTCTCAGAAACAGCAGAGTTCTTCTGCCCGCTGGCAGTGAAAAGACAATAAATGTCTGCTGTGTAATCTAGAGCAACCAGCCTCAGAAACATGCACCTTCGACTGTAAGCAGACAAACATCTGCAAATGAAGTGAACGATGTACAGATAGAATGAAAACACACATCCACTCAAGACAGCGCACACTTCTTGGTGGTGGTCTCTGCCAGGTTTCTCCCGCCGCTTGCCGACTGTGTGTCTGGCATCGGGGTTACGGGCTGCAGCCACACACAAGCTGTGCGCTCTGCCTGGGTTTTTACACACACTGAATGGGTTTTATGAATGGCCAAGACTGAAAACTGAGTCAACACCAGGGGCCACACTGAACCCAATCTGACAATGAGTTTTGGAGACATTGTTCTCACAGTGCAACCAGGAAGCATTTTAACTCAAAATTGACAGTTCAGATCCTTTGAAATGGGCTTTTATTGGAATGGGTTACAAACACAATATGCTTGCTGTTGTAAATAACTCTTTGAATGATCTCAGTTTAAATATAACCAGACTAGCTAACAGCTTATCTATGCAGGGTCAAGATTTCTACAACCAACTTTTCCAGCTTTTCTGGGAGGGCATCAAGGTTTTCTCAGGCCATCCAAGAGACATAGTCTCTCCAATCTATCCTGGGTCTTATTTGGGGTCTCCTCCCAGTTGGACATGTCTAGAAAACCTCTCTGGGGAGACGTCCAGAGGGCATCTTCAACCACCTCAACTGGTTTTTCCCAAGACAAGTCCCTCCTGGATAGCTGAACTTCTCACCCTTTCTCTAAGAGAAAGCTCTACAGAAAAAAAATTCATTTTGAATGCTTGTATCTACAATCTTGTTCTTTTGGTCAACACACAGAGTTTGTGACTAAAGGTGAGGGTAGGAATGTAGACTGAGACTTGCAGCTCAGCTTCCTCTTCACCACAATGAACCGGCACAGGAAGCTTCACCGGTCGATCTCATGCCCCATTCTTCTCTCACTCCTGAACAAAACCTCAAGATACATAAAGCCCTCCAGTTGAGGCAGGACCTCACCCTCATCCCAAAGAGAGCAATCCTCCTTTTTTTTTTTTTTACTGAGGACCATGGAGGTGGTGACTCAGCTGTTCAAAACAACTCAAATAACTAAAAAAAAATCACAACAGTTTCAGCAAACACCATTTTTTATCCTTTACACCCCTATTAGTTTTACATTACACATATATTTTATTTGAAAAGTTATATTTCCAAAGGAAGTGCTCCAGGATGCATCTTAACTGCTTCAGCTAGCTGTTGATGATGCAACTTGCAAATAACCACAGAAATAAATGTTAATAACTGTGTGATGTAAAAGTGATAGTAATGCACAGGTTCATAAGTAGCATTTGTATGAATTTCAATAAATTTTCTGAGGTTGGTATTGTTTTAAAACGGAAATAATCTACTTTGGATAATTGCTGTCGTAAAGCTAACAGCTAGCCCCCTTAAATTAGCGGTTAGCTTGTCGGTTTTGTCAAAATGAAGCTATTTCTACAAACCGAGGTCATTCAGAGAGCTATCTACAAAAGGTAACGTATTAATAGTTCATAACCTTTCCACAGAACTCCACTTCAAACGATCAGAAGGATCACTATCAATTTAACAAGTTGTTCTTCTGGCTGAGCCAACGTGCTTTAAAACGGTGCTTTGCAGTGTCTGTGTGCTCTTAGGGTGCACGGACATATGTGTGTGTGTGTGTGTTTGTGTATTTTTGTTCTCATTTCCCCACCAAAACTGAGGATGGCTGTAATGAAACCAGTTCTCGACATTGCGTGGAGCCGGTGACTCTGACAGCCTCATGGACGTTAGAAACTGTTCCCTAAGAGAATGTAAACACTTCACTACATCCAGGACTATTGGAAAAACCACGCTCAGCTGCTGTACATATAAAATGGTTATCCAAACATAAATGCGGTGCACTTCTTCCAAGTCTTTACCACTGCTCTACCAGTAGATCCAGTACTCGGTTCACATTCAGATCGGAATCCAGACTGAAGTCGGACTCAATAAAGGGAGCTTTCGGTGGGGTAAGAGGGTAAAGGCCAGACGTTAGGGTCTCAAGCCAGTCGGCGGCGTCAAACAACGTAGCGGATCGTCGTTTCCGTGACTTTCTTGTGGCGGGAGGAGGGGAGATGCAGATTGGCGGAGGAGGAGGAGCAGGTACAACCTGACTTGGGTTTATTACAGCAGGAGATGGTGGAAGCTCCAGGAGAAGAGAAGAGCAAAGTGGCGAGGGAAGGAAGTTGTCATCTTGTTGCTGAAAGGACTGGAACTGCTCGGTTTGAGAAGAAGAAGAAGAAGGGTCCAGGACTGAGTGGGCGGGGGATTTATGATCAGAGACATTATAAGAGCCTGGAAGAAGGATGGGTTGTAAAAAGGATTAGACATGGAAGAAATACAAGTGTCATTAAATATGTATTCCTGAAGCATTGTGGGAAACTCACCGTCACAAGTAATGGGCTCATTAAGAATGTCGTCTATGGACTGTCGAGGGTCCATCTGTTGGCCAAGGAAAGGAAAGGTACTTCACTTTGCAGCGATAAAGAATTTTTTTTTTGGTCAATCTCCTGCTCTCTGCAGATTTACCTGTGCCTTCTGGATAGCCTCCTGCAGTTCTTCCTCCAAGCTTCGAATGCCAGGTGAGGCCTGAACGGGACTTGCCGTAATCTGCAGTGGCAGCTCAAAGTCATGGCCGATCACATCACACGGCTGGCAGCAAACCACATGATTAGAAAGCAAGGGGGGAAATTAGTTGACAGCTGGTGATGGGAGCACGTTCCCAAGAGAAAGTGAGAAATGTTCTGTAGCAAAAGGCTTTTCTAGGTGCATTGTAAAATAAAAGATATATCACTTTAAAGATGTTTACCTGAGTCAACAACACTTCTGTTTGCGCATTTATTTCTGGCTTCCCTCTAAAGCACCCTGGATCCTGTTGCAGGAACGGATGAAGGGATCCCTCACTGGACTAGTTAGAAAGTTGAAGATCATCAGTTTCTAATGGATAAATAGTTTTTCAAACCTTCAAATGACAAATAATTAAAGCTCACAAGTCCTCACCTCATTGCCAACGTGCATGGAGGAGTGACTGAGCCTGCTCCTCTTCCTCCCCCTCATCTGCAGCTCCACACTCAGCTGCTGCTGCAGCTGCTCGCTTTCACTTTTCCAGGGAGTCCCACACTGCAGGGGTGAGGAGGACGACACGGGTAAACTGGGACTCGGAAGTCCTGAGGCGGTGCTGGCAGGAGCCAAGAAGACGGCGCTGGTGAGGCGGCACTGTTCACCCGCCAAACTGACTGACGCTGCGTTTGCGTATCCGTTTGGGACGGCGCTCAGAGTTCCAGTTGGATCTCTGCTCGAAACGTCACAGAGAATCCCATTAGGAGCTCCTCCATCTTGGATGTACAGCTGTTGGTTCGGGCTGCTGCTGGGCGAGTCCAGTCCAGAGCTGAGGCCTGAGCCAGGGCTGTGACTGGGTGGTAGCGACGGGGAAGGAGTGAGGGGCTCCGGGCTGGTGCCCAGTTTGCATAGGGGAGCAGGGTTGGGGCCCGCTGGCAGAAGCTGAAAGGGACGAAGTCGTTGCAACAAGGCAGGCTTGGTGCCCGAGACGGGGAGGCCACGCTTACGTAGCTGTTGCCGCAACTCCGACACCTGAAGGGGGGGGGGTGGGGGATTAAAGATGGAAAAGCAACAAGGATCAGAATCATTAGTTGTTCTTAATGGAAATCAAAGGCCCACTGACTTTTGTGACAGTTTTAAACAAAGATCTTGTGTTGAGAAGGAACAGAGTCATAGCTGCTTGTTCAGACCTTACAACAGACGTTATGCATTATCTCATGCAATCTGTTAGCACTCAGAGAACCACTCTCAGCAGCTACCACACTGATATTAGCTCAATATCTGTAAAACTGACTAAGTTAGAGCCCGTTTTGTGTTTGCTAAAGTGGATTACCTGTGGTGGCCATCTTGAATTAGGTTGGCTACAAAATGTTAATCAGTTTTAGATTTCCAGCGTTTGATTACTGTCTAAAGGTTTCACTAAAATTTGTCCAGTGGTTCATGCAAAAGTGCTGACTCTGCAAGTTAAGGCCAAATAGTTTAACTAAGACATGGCGCAATGTGCAAAGCACAGAGTGGATTCACTGATTGACTTTATTTGTTCAGTGGTTCATGAGAACCACTTTCACACATTCTCACCACATTCATGAGCCCATTACGAAAGCTATAAACAAAGTTGGCAAAAAAAAAAACAACATTATCACCTTTTTGCTTTTGGCATTGAGCATAAAAAAATTTCAGTCATTTAGTTGAGAGTGTTCTTTTCTCTTACTGTTAAATCCACAAGGTTTGCAGGAAGCGGCTCAGGTTTGGATCCATGGTTTGTGTCCATGGAGGGTGGGTTTGATGGGGCAGGAGCAGGTTGGCGACTCAGAGACGTGGCACCAGAAGTCTTTACAAGATCATTATGATCTCCACTAAAGGAACAACAGAACTATTGACTCCAGCAAAAACATCTCAGGACTAACAGATTATTGATACTGCACAGATCAGTTGATGTGTCATCAGTAGGGTTTGCCTACCTGGGTACTACTGTGAGCTGCTGTGGAGGCTGGAGCTGCTGCTGCTGTTGGCTCTGCAGGATCTGGAGCTGAAGGAAGACCTGCTGCTGTGTTAGGAGATGGGAATAGGCCGGGTCTAAAGACTGGGTAGGGGTGGTCGGGCTCTGCTGTTTGGCTCCTCCCACTAGAAACAGCCCAGTTTATCAGTTATTCATCTCAATTTGTTAAAGAAAAGTATTGTGCGTTGAAAGAAAATGTAGACAAGAAGTCTTAAATGAGCACCTCCAGTCCCAGACGCTCCCCTCTGGTCTGGAGGAATGTACTGGTGATACTTGAGTTTTCTCATTTTGGGTTTGATGTCCCGTGGTTTCCGCGGGCGAGGGAGATGGTTAAAGTTTAAGGGAGGGGCCAGAGACGAGGAGCAGGTGGGGCTGGGGGGCCGAGCTGTCTGTAAACACACAGATTGCTCAGTCTTCCGTCAAGCTGCTAATCACAACACAGTCCTTGAGATTAATTTGAGAGAACGACACATGCAGGACATCAATGTAAATGTCAAGTCAGTTTACAGTGGTTGACGTGTTTGCCCCGCACGAAGGTTAAATTCCTTCAAAAATTACGTGTAAACGCCTCACAAATCTCCAGACGACAGTGTGCGCTGGTGCTGACATGTACCCGCGCAGCTTGTGGGAATGTATTAACCTACATGGCAAACACTGAGCTCGCCCACAAGTACAAATTGACAGTAATGAATTCAGAGCAGTTACAGCAGAGGCTTGCTGTTGTTGTTGTTTTTGCTGTTGTTCCTTTTTGTTAAAAAACACACACACGGGTGTGACTGTCCGGTTAGGTTAAAGACCTCCACAGGGCTCTGCTGCTGTACACCAGCTGTGACTATCATTACAGCACGCGCACACATGCACAGAAACAACTGAAATATTGCTTTTATGAATGAAATTGACACTAATAAATGCGTTTTCTTCTGTTCTCGTTGACACAATTTTAGCTTTAGGTTTAAAAAAAACGTTCAACAAAAGGGAAGAAAGTGAGAGTGAAGCAGGAAGGACTAATGAAAGGTTGAATTAACCCCTCTCTACCTTTGGCAGTAAGGGTGTCGTCTGAGAGGTAGGATACATCCCATTTTGTCTTCCAGTTGTTGCCATGGAGTTTGGTTCGCCCAGTGCTACACTCAGAGGTTGTCTGATGCCCACGGTTGCCGGGAGCAACGCCAAACTAGACTGAAAGCAGAGTATAAGAAAATCAGATCCGTCCCCTCAAGCGACGGTAGGCCTTTAAGGCTAATTAGTTTAAAGCCTGTCAGATGAAACTAAAAGTTTCAGCTGTTCCTTTTTAATCACCTGTGCATGACTGGGACTCTGATTGAGGGTCAGGCCCACAGCTGAGCAGTCACTTAATGATTGGTCAACTGGGAGCACGGGCAACAAGGAAACCGGCGCCGACTGGTGATGCTCGGAGATCAAGGAGGAGGAGATGTCATCTTCGAAAACATCTGCAGAGAAAGTGAGCGGACCTGCAGAAAGGAAGGGCGAGAGGAGGAGACAAGATCCAAGCATAAGCAAAGAAGACTGGATTAAAAAAAAAAAGTAAAAGTCTGACAAAAACAAAGTACTAGGCAAAATTCATCACATAATTCCTTATATTTTGCTTCCAAGGAGTCAGACAGATTACAAAGTTTGGCATAAAAAACGTATTTTATATCATGAGACCAGTTTGGATTCCCTTAAACTGAAATGGGAAAAGGACTTAGAGGAATCCATATCAATCTGGAGAAAGATCATTAAGAACATTTACTCATCCTCAATATGTCTGAGACATGCTGTGGTTCAATTCAAGGTGGTGCACCGGCTGCACTGGTCCAGGACAAGCTGTCCATGGTCAAAGCAGACCTGGACCCCGCATGTAATTGTTGTAAACAAACTCCAGCTAAACTCCTGCATACATTCTGGACCTGTCCCAAACTACAGACTTCTTGGCAATCTATTTTTGACACCTTCCCTGGGATATGTGAAAACACTGGACACTCATCACCACTCATCCCAGTGTTTGGGGTGGTCCTTCAGCAAGTACAAGAAGGATGTTATAGCTTTGGCTCTCTTTTGGCCAGGAGACTTGTTTTGTGCAAGGACCCACACCCTCCCACTCCCAGCATATGCACATTGGATAAGAGAAGTGATGTATCATATCCATCTAGAAAAAATAAGATAAACCCTGAAACCCAACAATTTTCAGTCAGGTCATCTGGACAGTTTCTGTTTTTGCTGAAACATTTCACCTTCCATCCGGAAGGCTTCATCAGTCAAGGAAACACAACACAAAACTA